CCTCTGCTGCCGGTTCTCCTTTTCAGCCTGCTTCCCCCTCTGCTTTCTCATTTGCTCATTCCTGCAGTGGGCTGTCCGGGGTCTGTCTTGCGTCAGGCCCTGTGGATACAGAAGTGGGCCAAGTAGCAGACTCTTGTCTAGTTAGTGGTGGGGACAGGGATGAGTTAGGCTCATGGTTCTCAACTGGGAATCATTTTGCCCCCTCGGAGATGTTTTGAAGCGTCTGGGATACATTTTGCTCGTCACACCTGGGAGGTGGGAGCTCCTGGCGTCTAGTGGGTGGGGGCCAGGGATGCTGCTTAATGTCGTGTGGTACACAGGACAGCCCCCACCACAGAGAATGGCTCGGTCCCAGATGTCAGTAGTGCCAGGGAAGAAACCTCGTTCGAGATCATGCCACCATTTAGGATTTCTTGGAAGTTCCAAGAAATGCTTGGAAGGAGAATTACAGGGCTGGGGCAGACCTAGTCCCGGGGCTGATGGGGAGCCTGATGGAGGTTGACTTTGACCCTGGGCTCTGGAGGAGGAGCCGGACTTAGTGGGTGGAGATCAGGAGGGCTGTGGGCGGGGGGCCTGGGGGTGCAGAGGCCACCCCCTGCCCCCCGCGTTTCCTCTCTCCCCTCCCCACTCACAGACAAAAACGAGTGCGTGCTGTCGCCTGCGGCCTGCGGCAGTGCCCCCTGCCACAACACGCTGGGTGGCTTCCGCTGCGTCTGCCCCTCTGGCTTTGACTTTGACCAGGCCACGGGGAACTGCCAGGATGTAGACGAGTGTGCCGCGCAGGGTGGCCCCTGTAGCTACGGCTGCGCCAACACCGCCGGTGGCTTCCTGTGCGGCTGTCCCCAAGGCTACTTCCGGGCTGGGCAAGGGTGAGGGGCTTGCGTAGGGCGGGCACAGATTCCCAAACCCTGCGAGAGCACACGCACACGCACGCACGCACACACACACACAGGTGGGTCCGTGTTCACATACATTTACACACGTGCACGGAGCCCTGAAAACACGTATGGGTGTGCACACAATCTCACACCCGATTCTGGCATAATTACCTTCGTGGCAGATGAACCCACCCGGTAGATGCACACTTCTCTGTAATACACTTGAGCACACGGCTCACACGGATGCCAGCACGCCTGCGGACCCCTCCGCATTCGCGTATCCCAGTGTGCACACGTGTGCACATACACATCAGCATCCTGGGGTGTGAGCAGGTTCGCACCTAGGCCCAGGTCAGCCAAGGGATGCATGCACACAAGCGCACATCCCTTGCGTGGGCACGTGCAAAGGCACAGCCACACATTTATACACCAGCACCTGCCCCCGTGGGCAGTGAGGCTCAGGGTGGGGGCTGGAAGGGCTGGCTGGGGAGATACTGCCAGCCTGCCCCTGAAGGCCTACCGCCACCTTGTCCTGGCCCAGGCACTGCGTCTCTGGCCTGGGCTTCAGTGCCGGGCCCCGGGAGACGCCAGGAGAAGAAGAACTGATTTCATCTGAAGCCTGCTACGAGTGCAAGATCAACGGCCTCCCGCCTCGTGACCGGCCACGGCGCAGCGCCTACGGCGGCCACCAGGTCAGGAGAATGAAGGGATAGGAAAGTTGGGTCGGAGGGGCGCTCGCTATTAGATTAACTAAATATGAGTGCGTTGCTTTGCCTTCTTTTCCCCTCTTGTTTCTTCCCCCCCTTTCCTGGAAAAACAGTGGCTCTATATGTCATCCCACTGTTACAAATATTTTCTGTAAGCTTCGCAGGGGTAGGGCCCTGTGTCTGTAAGAGTGAGGGGAGTGGTTGTCAGGGCTCCTGGGATGGGCGCCAGCGGATCTGGGCAGAGGAGGTCCGGGCGGCCCCATGGCTTTGCCTGCAATACTCACAGACTGCCAGCAGGTGTCAGCAAGGGCACGTGTCTGCGCAACACGCTGGGGAAAGGCGGAAGTGTCCAGAACCCAGGGGCAGGGAAACAGGAATAGCTTTCACTTTAACACAACAAGGGAACCACCCCTCAATATGTAAATTAAGCGAAACCAACACCAAGGAGAAGAAAACACAGATAACCTCCTGTGGGACTGGCTACGTCACCAAGCCCGGGCTAGCCTGCCATTGAGGCCCCTGGCTTATTCAGGGCCCTGTCCGGCTGCCAGGACCAGGAGCACGCTCACAGCAGTTCACATAAAGAGGGGTTTGTCATAGCACACAGGGTGCTCTCAAAGAGCCCAGATGCAGGAAGTGCAGCAACCCCCACCCCCACCCCGGCACCGGAAAGCAGCTCCTCTCTGGTGCAGCCAGGTCTTGTGTTTCTCACTGTGGTGGCTTCAGTGTCGTGTGGACAAGTGGCCGCCTATCTGCCTGTCTTTGCTTTCCCCTGGGGAAGCCGCCTCCGCCGTCACGCCTCTGTCTGTGGCCCAAGCTGATGGTGGGCCTTGTGACGGAGGGCTAGATGGAGGTCAAAGGCGGAGAGTGCCCCAGGTTGTCCTCCAGTTTAGAGACTGGCTGAAATCTCTCAGCCGTGACCCCGTGGTCCCCTACCCACTGCGTTCCGACGCTCCCCGCCCCTCACCGTCCTCTGCCTGGTCTTTCTCCACAGGTGAGCCTGGCCAGCCTTGACTCAGAGGCCCCACTGACCTTGGGCCTGAACCTCTCACGCCTGAGCCAGGCCGAGCACATCCTGGAGCTGCAGCCAGCGCTGGAGAGCCTGGCGGGACGGGTCCGTTATGTCATCGCCCGTGGCAATGAGCAAGGTTTCTTCCGCATGCATCACCTCCGTGGCCTCAGCTCCCTGCAGCTGGGGCGTCGGAGGCCCGGGCCTGGAACCTACCGGCTGGAGGTGGTGAGCGTGGCAGGGCCCTGGGGCACCTGGCCGGAGGGGCAGCCGGGACCAGGGGGCCGGGCCTTGCGGCTGAAGGTGCAGCTACAGCTGCTGTAGTTGGAAGGACACCCCCTCCCCCCACCTCCTGGCAGACCCCAGGCCCCTCCCGCAGCCCCCCTGCTCCGGACTCACTGCATGGGCCCTGCCCAGCCCTTGCCTCGTTCGGCGGGATTTGGAGGAAACTGAGGTCACCGAGCTCACCGCACACCGCAGGGAGCCCCCGGGGTCCCTGGTGAAGCCCTGGACTCAGCGCGCCCCGGCGCCCCCCGTTCGTCCTCCTCTCCAGAGCTTGGGACGGACCGACCCCACCAGCAACGGGGTCACTGACCAGGAGGAGCCCCAGAACTCAGGAAGAGTAAAATGCTGTGCTGTGACCTCAGGCGAACCCAGCCTCTGCCCAGGGGGACCCCAACACTCAGTCTCCCCTAGAGACGGCTGGAAGCTGGCGCACGCACCCTCCTTCTGCAACAACCAGGGTCACGGAAGGGCCTGTGATGCGCCGAGTCCGGTCAGCCTCAGGCTTCCACTTCTGCACTGCACCGCGGCTCACCCCCCCGGGGGTCGATGGGACATGGAAACGGACAGCTGGGGGGTGTACCTGGGGCTCGACCCTCCGAGCCGAAGAGCCTGTGGGGCCCCAGCCAGAGTTGGTGACACCGCCACGCTCGGGCCCCCGGTGGGGTGGGCTGGGGTTCCAGGATGCTTTTATATCAAAAGCAGAGACCACAGTAAAGTTATTTTGGGTTAAGCCGGCCTCTTTGGCGTGTTCTCGAAGTAACGAGACGCTGCCCTCCGCGGGGCCGGGCTGGGCTCACAGGTCAGGGAGTGGGAGGCCCCAGAGCTTTGGAAGGATGGGCTTCAACCCGGGGCTCTGAGGGGAAAGCGTGCAGCCGAGACGCAGGCGAAGGCCGCCTTCCAGCTGGGGGTGGGGGACACGGCACCCAGGCTGCAAGCGGGTTCTGCGAACCTCAGACCTGCGAGTGGCACAAAGCCAGGCTGCCGGTGGCAACCACCGAGGGCCCGGGTGGCTTCACCGGGGCCGATTCCAGCAGCTCGCTCCCTGACCACGTACCGCGTACCCGGCACCGTTCTAAGGACCGTTACTGACCCGCTTGGCTGTCCTTGCAACTCCGTGGGATAGAAGCTGTTGTGTTCGGCCCCGTTTTACAGATTGGAAAACAGGCTTACAGATGGCAGGCCGCTTGGCCAAGGTCACTCCAGGTTGCAGGTAGCAGGTCACCCTGCCCCACTCGCATCCTGCCTGGTCCCAGGGTGAGCCGCACCTATACCTAATCTGATGGCCTCGCTGGATGCCAGGGGGCCGTCGATACGCGGTCGGTGTGTGTGTGTGTGTGTGATGTGTGTGTGCAGACGGTAGTGCGTCGGTTGTTTCTTGTCGTCTCTGCACCCGGCGCGGGGCTGGAACTCCCAACCCCGGAGGTCAGGAGTCCCACGCTCTGCCTGCGCCAGCCAGGCACCCGGTGGTAGTGCATTCGGTCCCCACTAGCTTGTACGAGGCAGGCAGTGATATCACCCATTTTACAGCGGGAGGAACCGAGGCTTAGAGGGTTTGTAGAACTGGCCTGAGTCGCCTGCATAGCCTAGCGGGGCCTCAGTGTGACCCCTGGCCCCAAACCGCCTCTTGTCCTCTAGAGATGAAGCGCTGGGTTTTCATCTGTAATGTTCTCTCTCGTGGTGGAAACTGAGGCTGCCCAAGGATGGGACAGCTGGATGGCTCGAGTCTAGTGCCTGGCTCCGGGGCTCTATTCTTGGCTGGGTTCCGGGCCACTTGACTTATCGAGAGTGTTTCTGGACCCCTGTCGGAGCTTGCAGAGGGCTCCTCCGTGCATTAGCCAGGCTCGCTACAGCCCAAGGGTGTGGGCGGAACAAACGCAGCGACCCCCATTTTACAGGCGAGGAAAGAGATGCCAAGAGAGTGCGGGGTTTGCTCAAGGTCACCAGCTGGACTCACACCCTCGCCTGCAGCCAGCATGCCCCCCCGCCCCCGGAGCCGTCAGCTTGAGGGCTCAGCACAGATCCTGGGGTGGCATTCACGTGGGATTCAACACAGGCTTGGATAGCAACTCACACCCCATAAGGAAATGTGACAGAGACAGGAATGACATCCCACCCCAGGGATGTTTTAAATAACGTTTATTGAAAAATCATAGAAAAGCATAGTCTGGGAGGAGCGTCCCGGGACGGTCGGGAGCTTTGCAAGGACCCAAAGGGACACAGGCAGGCGTGGCCCAGGGTGGGCGGCAAGAGGCTGCGGTGGGTGACAAATCCAGATGATCCCTACAAGACCCTCTGCTTACGGCTGACTCTGGTTCCTGGAGCAGGCAAGGGGCCTGAAGCAAGGTCAGGTCTTTCCTTCCAGCTGCCTGAGGAGCAGGATGTGGCAGGAGCGATAGGACAGAGCCAAGAGCAGGCTCAGGCCCCGGGCACTGAGGTCTGACCTGAATGACAGGCTGGGGCACCTGGAGCCTCAGGGGACAGTTGTGGCGGGGAGAGGTCCGGCCCACCTTCGCGCTGGCTAATCCTGGAGGTGTTCGGGCTCACGGATCTGCAGGGTGGGGGGGAGGGGGAGGGACTGGAGAGGTCAGCAGGTGATGGGGACTGGAGTCCACCTGACACTTCGTGTCAGCACTTGCCTCCCGAAACCCCCGCAGCCGGGTTAGGGTAATGAACAGCCACCCGAGTGTCAACCGGCAGGACTGACCACAGAGTCAGCCCCCTCGGTCCCGGAGTTGAGTCCCCTCCCCCAGCCTGTGCTGCTCTAGAGAGCCCTCGATCCCTCAGCAATGGTGACGGGGGGGGGGGGGGGGGGGGGGGAGGGATGGTCACATGATCAGAGTCCTCACCTGGATGAGCTGTCGTCTGGAGGGCAGTTTTCGTCTTGTTGCTTCTGGGGGGCCAGCTAACCCCGGACGGGGTTCTCAGGCGGCTTCTGTGATGCTTTGCCTTCCGCGCATCCAGGAATTGTGTCCAGTACTTCACCCTCTTGTCCCGGGGGTTGCCGCACACCATCCTGTGTTTCCGCAAGAAGAATCTGGCGGGGGAGAGGGTGCCCAGGTTGGGGTGTGAGCCGGGGGCAAAGTCGCGTCTGGGCCCCGCCCCCCGCCCCGCCTCCCAGGCCCCACAGCCCCACTCACATCACAGCCGGCAGGTTGCAGCTGCCGCTCACCTCCTGGCGCTGGTACCCCAGGGCGCGCTTCAGAAAGTCCAGGCTCTCGAGCCGGTGGTAGGCTAGGCAACAGTCCTCCGAGACACCTGCGGCCGCGACCCGAGGGCTCACATCTCTGTGCGCATGCGCGTGGACAGCGACGCACACGCGCCCGCACACACACCTGCCGCAACCCTCCCGAGGCCCGCGGAGGCCAAGAGACAGCCCAGATGATAAGGAAGGCACCCGGCTCACCTTTGGTCCCCTGATAAGGGGACCAATGGCACGAGTTGGAGGGGGTCCACGGTCCCGGGCTGGGAGGGGCCCAGGACCACGAAACGAATGAGGGATCAGAGTGAATGAGGACTTCCACGAGGGCTCTGGGGCCGAGGAGGGCAGACGGCCCGAGGAGGGGCCAGGGGACGCGGCTCCCAGCCCAGGCCCTTCGAAAATGAATGGGCTGGCCGGCTGCTCCTGATGTCCCCGCTCCTGCTCCGGGCTGGCCGTTCCCCACCTAGGGCTATCTCCAGGGCCTCCTCCTTTCTGTCCCCGTCAGAGTGACCACTCGGTCACCAGACCAGAAACCAGGAGGTCTCTGTTTGTCTACTCGTTGCCTGACAAAAGCATTTTGGGTTCCTACTAAGGTGCCAGACGTGTAGACAAACACAGAGGGGAATTGGACCCAGGGCTGTCACGGGGATCCCCCAGCCTGGTGGGGACACCCAGAGGTCGATCTGTGCCCGGAGGGGGAAGGGCAGGGACCTGGGGGTGGTGTCTTGGAGGAGGGTGCCAGCAGGGCCTGGGAGGGTGCGCGGGTGGAGGTGATGTGAGAGACAGTGCAGCGGCCTTCAAGGCCCTCCGGGACCCATCTGTCTGCTGACCCCCCCACCTCCAGGAGCCACACCCAAGGTCTGGCAAAGTGCAGTGGGAAGGATGGGGGAGGAGGGCGGCTTGAGCCTACCCTGCATCTCCAAACCTTGGCCCCAGAGGGCGAGGGGCAGTGGTGTCAGATGGACCCTGGGTTTCGGTACCAGGCAGGCAGGGGGCCACTCTGCCCCTAGGATCAAAGGGCCCCGGGCTGGGCCTGGCTTCTGGAATGGGCCTCTGATAGCAGGACAATGGGAATGAAGCCCAGCCCCATCTTGGGCAAAGGCTAAGGTCTGCTGGAAGCAGAGGACTAGGGCCTCTCAGACCAAGTGAGGGCAGGCGGGGCAGGCAGGGTGGGGGGTAGGGATGGTGCTATGGGGTTTGGACCAAGCCGGGGACCCTGCTCAGCCAGCTGCTGGGGCTCAGGCGCTTCCCCCGGGGCCCATGGGGATGCAGGAAACAGTGGCGGGACTCCTGGGGGACACTGTATGCCCAGAACTGGCCTTTGGTCACCAAATCCTCAGGTGCCCGATGCAGGGAGAAGTGGGAAGGGACTCCCCGTGAATAACAGTATGGTTGTCATTGTTGTTGCTGGGCACCGGGCCAAGAGTTTTGCAAGTTACCAGCCCATTGGAGTCTCATGTCCTATCTGTGCAGCAGGAATCCAGAGGCCCCACTTTGCAGATGAGGAAACCGAGGCTCATAAAGACTGAGTAGCAACACAGGTAGCCCAAGGCGGGTGGAGCTGGGACGGGGGACCCACTCCCGTTGGTCTCCAGGGCTCTGCAGGGTCAGGTCACTGCAGCGTGTCCCCGGCAGTAACTGGCCATGCCACCACTGGGAGCCATACTCTGCTCCCCACAGTGTCTGGGCTGACTGGAGTCCTGGCAGGGAGGCCTTGGGTCACGGACGGTGGAGGAGGCATCACAGGGGCTCTGGAAGGAGGGACTGGGGGGCCTGCACCCGCAGGGAGCCGCAAACACATGCCAGGAGTTTCTACATGACTGGGGCGGGAGTTGTGCATCAGAATCCAGTGGTGGAGACATAACGGGTGGGGGTTGGGGAGCTTCTGGAGGAGGGGAGGAGCAAATGGGGGAGGGAGGGCAGGGAGGATGGATGGGGAGAGGAGGGCTCCAGGAGGCTGGGTGGGCACGGCCCACGACGTTACCTTGAGCGTGGACAGGACACCAGATGCCCACAAAGCTGGCCGCCACCACCAGGCACAGCAGGAGCCACAAGTTCATTGTGCACCGGCTGGTCCTGCTCCCCAGGTGTCTGCAAGAATAACGGGAGAGGTGGGGGTGATGAGGACCCCAAACGGACGGCAGCAGACCCTGGGAACACTCCCATCTCAAGCCAGGCCCCAGGGCCCTCTGCAAGGGAGGCAGGCGGCCCAGGGACACGTCGGGCTGGGGGGCCTGGCGGCTGGTCGGGCTGGTCCCAGCCAAGACTGGGGGAAGGACTCACCAAAGTCCGAGGGATCCCAGGGGCTGGTGCCTGCTGGGGTGAATCCAAGCTTTTCTGCCTGCCAGGCCAGCAGGCTGGGCATTTTATAGATGGGGCCCCACCCTGAGGCCACCTGCCCTCCGCCACCCTCCCTCCTTCCACCTCCTCCCCTGCTGGCCCTCCAGGCTTCTCCCCGGTTTATCTTTCTAGCTGCTTTCTCCAAAGTCAAGATACACCTGCAGGGCATTGTAGGCACCTGGGGACAAGAGGACCTACATCAGAGGGCTGGCAGGAAACACTGACTTTCCCAACTACTTGGATGTGAGACAGACAAGGGTTGGCTCCCTTGGTGGTGGGAGGCAGAACCACACAGATGGACAGACCCAGCCTGCCCAGGCCACTTGAAGGCTGGCTGCCCTAGGGCCACCCCCCCTCCTTCACTTCCTCCCCCATCCAGAACTCCCCTGCTTTCTCCCCGAAGGGCCCTTTGTCCTCCCAGCATTCCCTCTCCCGCCACACACCGGGGCAGACACAGCCTTCCTGCACAGGGGCCTCAGGCTGCCTTGCTCCCCGCTCCCAAGCCACCTGTCCGGTGGGGCCCTGACTTCACCCCACTTTTCCCTCCTTCCCCACGATGGGGGGCCTTACAGTTTCATAGAAATGCCCTGGTTTTGCCAACAGGCAAATCCATTGAAACAGAAAGTAAAATCAGTAGTTGCCATGGGCTGGGAAGGGAGAATGGGGGGAGGGGGCGGGGAATGCGCAACTTGGCGAATATTGTGAACGCAGGGAACCTTGCACTTTTTTGTTGTTGTTTTTAAGATTTTATTTTCAAGCAATCTCTGCGCCCAGCGTAGGGCTTGAATCCGCAACCCCGTGATCGAGTCGCGCGCTCCACTGACTCAGCCAGCCAAGCGTCCCCGGAACCTTACACTTCCGATGGGGTGCAGTGTAAGGTATGTGAATTTTCTCGACTGTTACCTTGAGAAAAATGTTATTAACATCCACCACAACAAAGAAATGCTCTGGTTTTGGAAGAAATGCCTGGAGCCCTAGGTAGCCGCGCGCCGGCGGGAAGCAAAGCAAAACCCACCTAGAAGGCATATTTTTCTTTCCCTGGGTCAGCGTGGCTCGCCTAGTCAGGGGCTCCACGGGTGGGAGTGGGCGGTTGCAGGGGCAACGGGGCTTTGCAGAGACCTCACAGCTGATTGGCTTGAACTGTTAACTTTTTATTGCTCGCATCCTTAGCTATAGAACACTCCAGGTATTTACCACACCCGTACCCTTCTCATCTCCCCGCCCCACTAGGAGCCCCTGGCGGGGACCCTTCGCAGCCCCCAGGGGAGGAATCCTGTGGGTTTGGAGGCGTGGCTTACACTAGGGGCGGGGCTTACAAGCCCCGCCCCTCCCCGCTCTGGGAGCTGAGACTCCCCGCGGCCAGGCCCAGCGCCTAGTGGTCCGCGGAGGTGGCTGTGGCAGCCCCCCAGGGCCCGCTCGCGACTCCGGTTCCTCGACCTCTTGCTCTGGGTGTGGGGCGGGGGGGTGGGGGGGTGCGCAGGCGGGACGAGACGCGGCTCCGCGTGGCTGGGGGCGTGGGGACGCGGCGTGGCGGGCCCGGCCAGCCTGTCTGCTCAGGCCCACTGCACCTGCCTGTCCCGTCGCCCGAAGCCGCCAAGACGTAGCGTGACCCAGACTCGCCTGAGGTCCCCGCAAGCGAGCCCACTTCCCCTCCCCGCCCCTCGGGGTTTGTCCCACCCGCAGCCTTCACCCCGGGCGGGTGTCCGAGGAACCTGGGGCGCAGGGCAGGCAGGGATTTGCGTGATCTTGGACCCGGTGCAGGTGTCAGGGAGGGGGGCGGCGTGCTCAGACCCTGGTGAAAACCCGGAGTTCTGAAGCCCGCAGCTGCTGAGTGTGAGGGCCGCATCCTCACGGTCAGGGCCGAACTGGGAAAGGGGAGGCCTCTTCTGTTCCTACAGCTGCTGGAGGCGCCCCTGTGGCAAGAGCGTAGCTGGGGGGACAGAGGCCTCCTCCTGCCTCCTGGCCACCAGCCCTGACGATGGGGGCCGTTCAGGGTGGTCTCCGGCCTGAAGCTGAGCCAAGGTGAGGGACTGACCACATCCCAGGGCCTGCAGGTCGGAAGGGCAGGCAAAAAGCCTTCCTCGGGCTCAGCTCTTGGAGGCCCCCTGGGGAGGCCACCGTTAGGGAGTGCACTCAGAGGGTCCCCTGCAGAAGGGGTGGGGGGTCTGGGCTCTGTGAGGGGAGATGCCAACCGCTCCCTTGGGGTCAGTTCCTCCGGGGGCCGGCTCACTATCATTTCTGTGCTGGAGAAGCCCTCCCGGGTGTTCAACTTTGGCCCTCTCGACAGAGGCTCAGGGAGGCTCTAAGAGGCATTGGAAGGGCACAGGGGCACCGACTGAAGCGGGGGCCCTCCTGCAGTTGCTGTTGCACATCAGGTCCCTCCTCTCCCTGTGTTGCCCACCGCTAACCCTAACCCTGGAAGCAGCAGCTGGGGGCCCGCCCTCGCGCACCTCGTGTTGACGCACGTACGAGGCACGTACCGGCCCCTGTCTGCGGGGCCTGGGCCCCCGTTGTGCCTAGCTGCCTCTTGCTCTGGCCCAGACGCACAGTGGTTACCATGCGACTGGAGGAAGGGAGGAAAAGGGGTTTTTCCAACATGCCTTTCGGGGACTTCATCTATGGTCTCTGTGACCCCTGTCACTGCGTTCCTGACGTGGTTGGCCCTGCCGCCTCCTGGAAGGCTGGCTTGGAGGGGCTTGCCTCCCCGGGCTGGCCAGGGGTCTCTGTGTTCCCTAGGGTCGCCGTGGCGACCGTCTGGGCAGGGGCCAGGCCCACCACACGTTCTTGGGCCATTGGCACTGGTTGGATGGAGCCTCGGCCTCTGTCCCGGTGCTTCCCCGGCTCTTAACCGGACATGTGGGGGACAGGTGCCAGCTGGATGCCAGCTGGAATGCCCCAGCTAGGAAGGTGGCCTATTGCCGGTCCTGCCAGGCTGGGCTGGGGCAGGGGTGTCAGCGAGGAGGAAGGGCGGTGGGCTCTGAGGGGAGGGTCCCACAGGGCCCTCTTGGGAGTCCCTCTTCGAAGCGGCTGAACTCCATTCACCCCTCCCACGCGGGTTTTCTGGGTGCCCCTTACAAACCAGCCATTTGCTGGGGCCCCCGGGTGATGGCAGTGAGTAAGCAGATGTGTCCCAGCCATGAAAGATGCCAGTGATGTCACTGGTCCTCACTGAACATCTGTCGGGGGCCATCTGTCATCATGCCCATTCAGCAAGCACTCAGTAAGTACCTACTGTATGCCAGGCCCTGGGCCGGGTGCCAGGGAAAAATAGTGAAGGAGGCAGATGGTCTCAGGGTAGAGCAGAAAACACAAGCAGCAAATAGTGAAGCAGGATACTACCTTGAGATTAGGAAGGATGACACTGGGGATGGGCTGGGCTTCTTCAAAGAGAGTGGCCCGAGATGACAACAGCCCTACAGGATCAATAGTTATACCCATTTTCCAGGAAAAACACAACCAACTGAGGCCCAGAGAGGTTAAGTGGTCTGCCCAAATCAGCGGGGCCGGATTCCACGCTCAGGTCTCACCCCTTCATTCCACATGAGCTGTTAGGGTGCTGTATTAAAAAACTTTTTTAGGGGCGCCTGGGTGGCTCAGTCAGTTAAGCGTCCGACTTTGGCTCGGGTCATGATCTCGCAGTTTGTGAGTTCGAGCCCCGCGTCGGGCTCCGTGCCGACAGCTCGGAGCCCGGAGCCTGTTTCCGATTCTGTGTCTCCCTTTCTCTCTGCCCCTCTCCCGCTCATGCTCTGTCTCTCTCTGTCTCAAGAATAAATAAATGTTTAAAAAAAAAATTTTTTTTAAACTTTAGTACTGTATTTTCTTTAACCATCTCTATAAAAATATTATCATTCCCACAGGCGATCAAATAAGGATGATTTGTGAGACATTCCCTCTTTTTTCTTTTTTTTTTTTTTGGCATAGTAGATCTTGATTGCACACTTGTAGCATGTTTCAGATGCCAAATAGCCACATGTGGTGGCTAGCGGCTACCTTGGGGAGCAGTGCGGTTCTAGCCACAGATAACCGTCAGGCCATAATTTTGTCCTGATTCTTTCTTATGTTTATTAAGACTCTTTTTTTCTGGGCAGTTCAATTTTCCCAGCAAAACTGGGGGGAAGGTACAGAGATCTCCCATATACCCTTTGCCCCAAATGGATATTTGCCCCAAATGGATATTCCCTGGTTATCAACATCCCGCACCAAAGGCTGCATTTGTTACCATCGACGGGCCTGTGCTGACAGCATTGTCATCCAAAGTCCATAGTTTACGTTCGGGTCCACGCCTGGTGTGGGACATTTTATGGGTTTCAGCAAATGCTTGATGACCTGTACCCACCATTATGGCCTCATACAGAGTACCTCACTGCCCTGAAAACCCTCTGTGCTCCAAGCATGTCTTGTGTATCAGGACATCTTGACGGCTGGCGCCTACCTGATCATGGAAGGACTGAGTGCCCCTCCCGGGGCTGGCAGATCCTAGAGAGAGCAGATGAGTCGTGAGTGCACCTTCCGCAGGCGAAGCAGCCAGTCCGGAGCCCGCACCCAGACCCTCTCCTTTATGGGGCTCTCACACTCAGGGCCACTGTCCCCGGCCCTGATCACCCCAGAGCCAGGTGTCAGACCACTAAGAGACAAGCCCTGTACCCCGGAGCCTGCGGAAATTATGCAAACTAGCCAGTCCTGAGCCGCACGGGCCGCCTCACCTATTCCCTCCCACGGACACCAGACTACAGGCTCTCACCCACGTTTCGTTTTCCCCTCACTCCCTCTGCCTCCTGGCCAAGCACCACATGGTGCTTCCCCCTGTGGCCCTGTGTGGATGGCGTGCCCCCTCCTCTTGACATCTGTGAGTAGCAAAGTATCTTTTTCATGACAATCGTCTCCTGGTCTAGTGGCCTCACCACCCCTGAATAGGCATAAAACCTACATTTTAAAGCAAATGCCAAGTGATGTGCAGAGAGCTGGAGACAGAGGGCAGATAATAGATGTACCGTGCCCTTGTGACGCTCACCGCCGGGGGGACTTTCACAGGATGCACGGTCTGCATTCTAGAGGAACGTCCACACACAGGCTGTGGGGATGCACAGGGCACCCCACCAGGGCTCCAGAGAGAATGGAGACCTGAAGGTCAAGCAGGTGTTAGAGGTCAGACAGAGCAGGACGCCAGAGGGACCTGCCAAGTGTAGGCTGGCTGGTCGTGTACCGAGCCAAGAAGGGTGACCTTCCTCGAAAAGGCACTGGGGAGCTGCTGAGGGATTTAGCCAGGGAGGACTGCGGTCAGCCCCATATCTGAGCTTTGCCAAGGTCATGTGGAAGACGCAGTGTGGCGACACGGGTCCGGGAAAGAGTAGCCTCAAGACTAACACCTTGTCGAGGCGTCTGGGTGGCTCGGTTGAGCGTCCGACTTCAGCTCGGGTCCGGTCATGATCTCGCGTTCGTGGGTTCAAGCCCCGCCATCGGGTTCTGTGCTGACAGCTCAGAGCCTGGAGCCTGCTTCGGATTCTGTGTCTCCCTCTCTCTGCCGCTCTGTCTCCCTCTTTTTAAAAAATAAATAAACATTTTAAAAAATTAAAAAAAAAAAAAAAGATTAACGCTTGTCTTCCCATGAGGGCTGGAGGAAGGCCCTTTCCATGCTCTAAACAGCAAGAAATACAGGAAATGTTTACCAAGATCTACTGGGTGCCAAGTTGAGTAGTTACAACACCTGACAAGACAGACTTAGTCCCTACTGCCATGGAGATGTTTTACTTTTATTTTTCTCACAATGACTTTACAGTGGCATCTGATGAATGCTGAGATGACACAATACAGGGACCCGGAAAAGAGAAAAAAAACAAATAACTAAAATCAGAAATGAAAATGGGGGAGGGGGGCCTGGCTGGCTCGGTTGGTAGAGCACGTGACTCTTGATCTTGGGGTCGCGAGTTCAAGTCCTGTGTGGAACGTAAAGATTCGGTAAAAATAAATAAATTATAGATAGATAGATAGATAGATATTAAAAATAGAAAATGGGGGACACAACTACTAGCCTTACAGAAGTTTTTAAAAAGAATTAGAAGAGAACATTATGAACAATTACACACCAACTGATTAGACGATACAAATGAAATGAGCCAATTGCTAGAAACAAACTACCCAATCTGACTCAAGAATAGAAAATCTGAAAAGGGCTATCACTGGCAAGGAGATCGAATCAGCAATCAAAAACCTCCCCACAGGGGCGCCTGGGTGGCGCAGTCGGTTAAGCGTCCGACTTCAGCCAGGTCACGATCTCGCGGTCCGGGAGTTCGAGCCCCGCGTCGGGCTCTGGGCTGATGGCTCAGAGCCTGGAGCCTGTTTCCGATTCTGTGTCTCCCTCTCTCTCTGCCCCTCCCCCGTTCATGCTCTGTCTCCCTCTGTCCCAAAAATAAATAAACGTTGAAAAAAAAATTAAAAAAAAAAAAACCTCCCCACAAAGAAACAATCCCCCCAAAGCCCTGATTGAACCACACAGCCCTACTTATTTTCATCTGTTTTCTCTTGGTGGGTGAGGGGTTCTGCACAGCATTTGACCCAGCAACCCCCAGACTCACCATCGGGTGAGGTGGAGACATCAGGACTCGGGGCCGAGTGAGGGGCAGCGCCAGGCTGGGTCCGCTGGGAGGGAGGACAGGAGCCAGAGGGAGCTATGGGTTCTGACGGAGTCCTGCCTGGGTGGCAGGAGGAAAGGGGCTGGTCCCGCTCCCATCAAGATGGCCCTTGGCTCCCTTTTGACTGGCTGTTCGGTGTCCCCTGCAATTCCATACGAATTTTAGGGTCTGTTCTCCCATTTCTGAAAAGTGTTCATTGGTGCTCTGATAGGGATCGCGCTGAATCTGTAGACAGCGTTACGTCTTCCATGGACGGGGAGAGGTCTTTCCAATTACCTAGGTTTTAATTCTTTAAGCGTATTTTGCAGTTCTCAGCCATAAGTCTTGTACTCCCTTACTGTAACTTATTCTCAAGTATTTTATTCTTTTTGATGCGATTGTAAATGGAATCTTGCCATTTCCTTGTCAATGGCTCATTGCTATTATATAGAGTGCTACGTGGAATTTAAACACTTTATTTTATTTTATTTTTTTTTTTAAATTTTTTTTTCAACGTTTATTTATTTTTGGGACAGGGAGAGACAGAGCATGAACGGGGGAGGGGCAGAGAGAGAGGGAGACACAGAATCTGAAGCAGGCTCCAGGCTCCGAGCCATCAGCCCAGAGCCCGACGCGGGGCTCGAACTCACGGACCGCGAGATCGTGACCTGGCTGAAGTCGGACGCTTAACCGACTGCGCCACCCAGGCGCCCCATCTGAGCCATCAGCCCAGAGCCCGACGCGGGGCTCCAACTCCCGGACCGCGAGATCGTGACCTGAGCTGAAGTCGGACGCTCAACCGACTGCGCCACCCAGGCGCCCCTCTCATAACAATTTTTGACATAAAGTCTATTTTGTCTGATAGTACTATAAATATGCCAGCTCTCTTTTAATTACGATTTACATGGAATTTCTTTTTCCCACTCTTTCATTTCCACCTATTTGTGTCTTTGGATCTTTGTGTCTGATGCTCTCGTAGAAAGTATATAGCTGGGTCAGTCTCTTTTCTCCTCTGTCTGCCTTTTCTTTGGAGGGTTTAATCTACTTATCTTTGAGGTAATTACTGATAAGAAAGAACTTACTCCTGCTATTTTGTTATTTGCTTTCTTTTTTAACCTTATTTGTTTCAGAGAGAGTTCACGTGCAAGCAGGGGAGGGGCAGAAAGAGATGGGGAGAGAGAGGATCCTAGGAAGGCTCTGCACAGTCAGCACTGAGCTGGACGTGGGGCTTGAGCTGATAAACCATGAGATCGTGACCTGAGCCGAAATCAAGAGTCAGGTGCTTAACCGACGGAGCCACCCAGGTGCCCCAGTGTAAGACATACCTTTAAAAGAAATAATAAAATAGGGGCCCCTGGGTGGGTCCGACGGTTAAGCATCTGACTCTTGATTTCGGCTCAGGTCGTGATCTCATGGTTTGTGAGTCCGAGCCCCACGCCGGGCTCTGCTCTGGAAGCAGGGAGTCTGCTTGGGATTCTGTCTCCCTCTCTACCCCTCCCCCCTCATGCGGTCTCAGTCTCTCTCAAAATACATAAATAAATAAGCTCTTAAAAAAACAAAGGTATGGGGGCGCCTGGGTGGTGCAGTCGGTTAAGCGTCCGACTTCAGCCAGGTCACGATCTCGCGGTCCGTGAGTTCGAGCCCCGCGTCGGGCTCTGGGCGGATGGCTCGGAGCCTGGAGCCTGTTTCCGATTCTGTGTCTCCCTCTCTCTCTGCCCCTCCCCCGTTCATGCTCTGTCTCTCTCTGTCCCAAAAATAAATAAACGTTGGGAAAAAAAAATTAAAAAAAAAAACAAAAAACAAAGGTATGTCTTACACCTATTTTTTTCCTTAATTTTTTCACTACTACTTTCTTTTGCATTTCATTGATTTTTTTTTTTACAGTGTACCATTTTGACTCCCGCATTTCCTGTTCTGTCTATATCCAGTTATTTTCTTACTATTTACCTAAGATTACAATTAATATCTTCAACTTGTGACACTCCAGTTTGAATTAATAACCAGCTTGGCTTCAAGAGGATACAAAACTCTGCTCCTGTACAGCTGCTTCTCTTCCCCTTTATAGTGTTACTGTCACAATTACATCCTGGTATATTCCATTCCCATTATCATACCTTTGCAATTCTTGCGTTAGGCTCTTGTTTCTGAAATCACACAGGAGGGAAAAAGAGTTGCAAACTAAAAGTACAAGAACACCGGCTTTTATATTTACTTATGTAGTTGTCTTTCCGGTGCTATTTCCCATGTGGCTTCGAGTTGCTAGTTAGTGTTCATTTCAGCCTGAAGGACTCCTTTCAGTCCCTTTTTTTTTTTTTTTTTTTTTTTTTTTGTAGGGTAGGTAGGCCAGCCACCGAGTCTCTTAACTTCTGTTTATCTGGGCATATCTCTATTTCTCTTTCATTTTTTTATTTAATTTTTTTTAACGTTCATGTATTATCGAGAGACAGAGAGACACAGAGCGTGAGCAGGGGAGGGGCAGAGAGAGGGGGAGACACAGAATCCGAAGCAGGCTCCAGGCTCTGAGCTGTCAGCACAGAGCCCGACGTGGGGCTCAAACTCACGAACTTTGAGATCGTGACCTGAGCCAAAGTCAGCTGCCCAACCAACTGAGCCACCCAGGCACCCCTCTCTTTCATTTTTGATGGAGAGTTTTACTAGAGACAGAATTCTTGGTTGACAGGTTTTTTTTTTTTTCATTCAGCACTTTATTTTCTAGAAACAAATTTTTTTAACGTTTATTTATTTTGAGAGAGAGAGAGAGAGAGAGGCAGAGAGAAAGGGAGAGAGAATTCCAAGCAGGCCCCATGCCGTCAGCACAGAGCCTGATGCACGGCTTGAACTCATGAACCATGAGATCATGACCTGAGCCGAAATCATGAGGTGGGTGCTTAACTGACTAAGCCACCCAGGTGCCCCTCGTTCAGTACTTTAACTGTCATTCACTGTGTTCACAATATCCGGTGAAAAATCAGCTGTTACTGATTGGAGACCCCTTGTATGTAATGAGTCACTTCTCTCTCGCTACTTGACAGGTTCTCTTTGTCTTTATTTTTCTTTTTTTTTTTTTTCAATTTTTTTTTTTTCAACGTTTATTCACCTTTGGGACAGAGAGAGACAGAGCATGAACGGGGGAGGGGCAGAGAGAGAGGGAGACACAGAATCGGAAACAGGCTCCAGGCTCCGAGCCATCAGCCCAGAGCCCAACGTGGGGCTCGAACTCACGGACCGCGAGATCGCGACCTGGCTGAAGTCGGACGCTTTACCGACTGCGCCACCCAGGCGCCCCTGTCTTTATTTTTCAACAGTTCAATTATAATGTCCTGGTGTGGATCTCTTCCACTTATCCTGCTAGGAGTTTGCTGAGCTGCTTGCACAGATGGATGCCCGTTATTAAAGTTGGTAAGTTTTCAGCCATGGTGTCTCTGAACAGTCTTTCTCTTTTTCTCTCCTGCCTCTGGGATGCCCATGACTTTTCTAAAATATTTTTTAAAGACTGTATTTCTTGTTGTGTGTGGTCTCTGAAGCGTCAGTTCCTTTGGCTTCTAATCAGCTAATTGTGGGACAGAACTTTCTTCAATGCCTGAAAGAAGAAGACAAGAAGGACGAGGAGGGAAGAGAAGGAGGGAGGTGGAAGAGGCGAGAAAGAGGAAGAGGGGAGAATGGGAGAAAGGAAAGAGGAGAGAAGAGAGGAAAGGAGACAGCGTACTTTCCTGTTCTTTGCAGACTAGTCTGGGTTGGGCGCTCCTGCAACACCAAGCCAGGTTGTTTACCAATCTGCCTTGGTCTTTACTTCCTGCTTGTGGTGAGCCTGAATGGGGGGAACACCTAGGGGTTTCTACAGTCTTTTCTGAGCATGCATCCGGA